TGGAAACAGGTAGTAAGAGTGCACAGCCCCCGCTCCAGCCTGGATCCACACCTACCATGGCACTCCCACTCATGCTTTGAGTCACACGAGAGGGGCAGAAAAGGGTCTGATCCTGTCAGGCTGGAATGAAGAGCAACGTTACAAGGCATAACCTGCATGGCATACCTTCGTATCGCATTTGGGACGGAGTAGAGGTTGTCAGAGGTGGTGAAGGTGCTTAACTGACATGCACTTGGGATATGGGAGAAACAAATACAGCAAGCCAGGAGCAAACCGTGGCTCCCTAGAGGTCCTGCTCAGCTGCTGGCACCGTTCCCTGCTGGCCCCACTCCAGCACCCTCCCACCGCTGCCCCACTCTGGCATAGCCATTGCATGCTGGTCTCTCTTCTGGAAGTGGAGGTGAAGCCACTGAGGTGGCCATGTCTGGGCCACAGCCCTCTGGGGGTATCACTCCTGCCTCTCCCTACACCACCTGCTGCCGCCAGTGCTTTCTAGGGACCTGCACCCACCTGTTGTCACCTCAGCCGGCACTGGGCCCAGCACCAGCGGCCATCCTGCCCTGGCCATGGCCGTGGCCAAGCCAGGCTGGGACAAGGACGTGGTGCTGAAGTAGTGATGCACATGGTCATGGCAGATTGGGCTTGATACCCACCTCCTGCCAGACCACCTCCCCAGCTGCCTGCTCACGCAGATCCCACTGGTCCCACTCTCCTTCTTTTCTCTTTATCTTTTTGGTTATACGGAGTTAGGTGGGACACTGGTGCAGCAGAGTTTTAAAGTCTGCATTGTCTGGCACTTTCTAACTGGGAAGGACCGGCCGGCAGGGACATAGTTGCTGGGTGAGCTCGGGAGCCCTGGAGCAGCCGGACCTGGCACTGCCTCTCACCAGCAGCCCTGCTGCCTGTGTGGGCCCTGCCATGGCTGCCGGTGGCTGGGGATGTGGGGCTGTGCCTGTGGCACAGAGGGGAAAAGCCAACCCCTGCAGCCAGCCATATAGCAAGGAGCAAAGAGGACCATGACAACAGTGCTCGGCTTTATAGACTTTTATTTTTCAATCTGTACAGAATGCTGTTTGCTATTATAATAAGGCATCAAATGCACTATTGTAAAGCTCACGATAGACTGTGACGTTTTGCCCCGTCGTGGGTCAAAAAGGAGTTTTACAAGATTAAACCAGTTGCTTTCCCAGTCAGTAAACTTTATATTCATTACAGACAGATTTTTAAAAGAATTACAAAGATTAAAAAACTGTAAACATATAAAAAACGGCAACAAGCCAGCGTAGCTTCCTAGGAGAGAGTCTCAGACACTTCTGCTGCGGGGCCGGCTGCGGGCCGGCGGTGAGGAGGCGAGGCCGGCTGTGCCTGGGAGCCGGGCTGGGTGCCTGCAGCCCCAGCAGGGCTGGGCCTGCATGGCCATGGGCCTCCTTTTTGGTGAGTCCCCAGCAGGTGCCAGGCAGTTCCCAAATGGCCAGCCTCAGCCACAAACGTCTAACTGAGAAAAAGAAATTGAGAAAATGGGTCACCGGGGAGCTGTCTGAACAGCAGGGAGCCAGCCGCAGGCTCGCCACGAGGGAGCCTTGGGCCCGGCTGCGGGCCTCCGGGTCCCCCCCCGGGCTGGCAGAGGCCTGGGCAGGCCCCGGCCCACGGACACATCATGAGGTAGAAAACAGGAAAGTGTCACGTTTCACTGTTAGGGTCGGTCAGAAACAAACTGACAGACGGCACAAATCCCGATACATTTCCAGGGTACTCCAGGGGACACCTAAACCCCAACTGGTATGCCCCAAAATTTAGATCCCCAAAGAAAGCTCTCCAATGATCCATGCGACAAATTTAGCCCAGGCAACAAAAAAACCCCCAACAATTCTTCTCACACTTGTACCCTTACAGTATTTAAATTTTGAGCAGGGGAAATCAAATTGCGAGGGTGCACGAGAGCGCAATTAATTTCCCTTGGCCTCAGCCTTTGGTACTGCCTCGTGCGAGGTGAACGACGCAAAGGCTCATCCACCAAGCAGCAGGCTAATACATTCATTTTCCACCATTGGCCACCAGACAGCAAGTGGTTTAGTCTCTTTCACACCACACAGCACGAGAACCTGAGAGTACGGAGGTTTTATATCGCACCACCAACCCACACAGTCCTGTAATTTGTAAAGGTATCTTGTTGGGTGACCAGAGGAATGTCCTGAGAGTTTTTATCCGATAAACTCCTGCACTCTGAAGGCCTTCCTTTGCCTCTTTTATAGTGCACACTAACACCAAAATAAAGAAACTGTGTTAGTCCTGTTACTTAAATTTTCTTACTCCTCACACTTCTGTCGTGCGTATTTAGATTATTAGGTTGACTTACGTTTCCTTAAAATGCTCAGGGAAAATTTGAGGGTTCATTTAGGTATTGCAGGCTCATGATCTGTGACAGGCATTTTATGAAGCATCAGAAAACTTCTCACTTGATAATAACATACTGAGAGTCGGGGAAGCGTTCCCTTTTCTAGTGCTAATAATCAGCATTAAGGCATGCCACGGTTCCTACAAGAAATCTGTGATCCTTACAGCTTTAGTTGTCATCTTTCGCAATAATGGAATGTACTCCAATTTTGTGCATATGTATCATTAAAAAATAAAAATAATGGCTCTCAAAACCACCAGCCTCAGTTTTAGAGCTTCTGTCATGTAGGTGAGTACAGCGATGCCCATAAGGGGCCCAGGCCGGCGAAAGGGTTTTCATCCCCCGTAATCTCCCACCCCTGCCTCACACTGTCTTGCTGCCCCCAACTCAGTACCGTCTGCCCTTTCGCTCGGCATGGCTTTCCCCGGACCTCTGGAGGCCTTGGCCAGCCCCTTCCTGTCCTTGAAGCATGACAGGAGGCAGTGCTGTCCCCACCACCCCACCTCGAGCCGTGTCACAGGCCCTGCAGGCAGTACCCAAGTACCCACCAGCAGCAAAGGCCAGCTATGGAGGAGCCTTCCTCCTCCATGTCCTGTTTCTCTTTCTTTCCTCACTCTCACAGATCAAAACAGGCTGAAGGCTTCTTCTTACATCTGGAAGCTATTGCATTTATTTACCCCAGAAATTCAACCCTGAATCCCTGATGACACACCCAGAGGGATGTAAGCTCTCCAAAGACAACTGTGGAGATGCTGGCCACTGTTGAGTTCCTGCCCGCGAATATGCTCCGTACCATGACATAAACTGGCAAAATCAACTACTAGGCAAGAGCACCACCTAATAAGCTGCTCATTTAATTAGCAAATAACACTGAACTACAGTGGCAGTTAGAACAGATAACATCTGAAGCAGCGTCTCTTTTGCAGGGCCAACGTTAAAGCCTGGGTACCACATCACGCTATTTACAGCGACCAAAGGCATGAACCTGGAGCAGCGCAGCTCCTCGGGCCCTCGGTGGAAGGCACCCGTGCCAGCACCCATGGCTTGCAAGCAGGAGGGACTGACCTAGTGAGTGCCAGACTCAGGTGCTGCATGTCTCCTGACATGAACAGCCAGAGAAGAGAGAATGAGGTGGCAAAACAGCGTTCAGCCTCTCCATGTGAGGACCCCATGTTTCCACCTGCCACTTGTCATTATGAACTCTGTGCTGCCACATATTCCCAGCTAAAGGGTGCATAAAGGAGATCTCCCTGCTTCCCAAGAGAACTCTTCTCAGGTATGTCACAGTGGGAAAATAAGTATAATCTTAAAAATACTTGATATTCCTGGTAATCGAGACTTAAGTCATGACTGAGGAGGCTGTGACAGTGAAACACATTTCTACTAAGACTGCAGTTCGGGAATGTACAGACAGACCTCTTCACTCATGTCTGGCTTTGGCAGGGACACATATATATATTAACATACATACATACATTAACAAGACATACACATCACTGTTCAGCAAGAACTGACAGTGGTGCGAACAACAATCTTTGTTGGTTTTCTCAGCACTGCAAGAACACAACTTTAATGTTCCACAGAAACTGTCTGATAATGAAGTAAATGGCATCAGTGGTACAGGATTTTGGCTACTGTGCCACAGAACTGTCATTAATTACAACATGTACCCTTGATCATCCCCTACGTTAAGTGAGTCCCATGCCAGCCAGTAAACTGCCTGATATTTGAGCTTTGTATTTCCCGACAATTTAGTTTTTTACAAATAAATTGGTATTTATTGAACAAGCCCCAGAAAGCTGCTTCCTGACCTTCCCTTGCTGGTTATGAGAAGGCTGACAGCCTAGTGACATAAAACTGAAGTTTCAAAAGGACTCGTAAGATGCCAACAGCCCCAGTATAAGCAAAGCCCTGCAGCTGAGCTTGAATTTCTTCTGGCATCTATACCAAAGGAGAAGTGTTCAGTCTCAGCATCCCCACACTTTTTCACTCTTTGGGTCTTCTGAGACTCCAAACAAGAGGTCAGTTAATTCAATTTATGGCAGTTTTCATAGAAAGACATCTGTCCACCAGGAACTAAACTTCTTTTATATGGGTCACCATAGCTATGAGAAGTTAATGACTATCAATCATTGCTAATCTGAACTGAAATGGAGCCACTGACCTCAAGCTGAAAGAGCCTTTTGTCTCCTACCAATACCATGGGCCATATGGTTCCCTGCCCTTTGCCTCTTATTTTATTTTTTAAATAATCATCACTAATTATACAATTGTTAGAAAATATGGGAGGTTTGTGGCAAATCATGACCAAGTGGTGTTCTTTTTTCCCTTAGCTCTCACTCAAAAGAAAAGAAAGGATCACCTTAAATTAAAGGATAAAAAAGCACCACTCTCAATTAAATATTAGCCCTGCTATTTGATTATTGGTCCTGCTTCTTAACAGTCTACCAAGTAGACTGTTAATAATCCTGCAGGCTGCAATAATTAACAGCTTCCAAACTGTCAAGGTCATTCCTGTTCTATATGGGAGTAATAAGAAAATTATATGGGCAAGACACCAATGGAATGTTTTATATTAGGATAAACGAGTATTTGAGGAACCTACTTATCACAAATCTCTTTTTATTCAGTGGTTTTCATTATTTTATATCAGCTGCATTTTCTCTGGCACATTTTTCCTTTACAACAAATGCTCATATACTGCAAACATTTGATTATAGAGCTTAAGAAAAAAACATTCTTGTCAGACAAATAAACTGCATCACCAGTTTCTTTAGCCGCATCTGTTTTCTTTAATGAAACATATTTTCCTGTAGAAATGCTGCCTTAAAAATCATGACCACACTAATTATCTATGGCAAGCACATCTTCCTCAACTAATGACAGCTCGAGCATATTATCGTTTGCACTAGACTTCATTCTGAAATTGAAAGACCCATAGAGCTTGGCAGACTCCTTGGAGGATGCAAACCTGCTCCTCCGGTACAGCTCCCCTTTCCACATGGACATCATCAGCAGGCTGGAGAGCACCACTCCCCCCAGGGTTAAGAGACACAACCCAGCAATAACACAGCGGTCCAAGTGAGCCCCGATCCTAGCGCTCTCATTCTCCAGCCTCTCCATCTCCCGGGCAGCCACGGTGTTGGGATCCACAGTCACGTCTCTGGGTACCACGTAGGAAATGATCACCAGCAAAATGCCACTAACCAAGAATAAAATGGCACTAATGAACCCATAGTCCACAGATTTCCCGGCCGCCGCCTCCG